GCCGTCGACGGAGCGCTCACCCCCCCCCCCCCCCGCCTCGCCAGCACGTTCAGCTCACATGCGCTGCAATTAGCGGCCGAGTTGGGAGCGCTCAGCGCCGCTCTGCGCGGTGCTGGCCTCTGCCCTCTGCCCCCGCTGGCTGCTCTCCGCCTGCTCTTCTTGTGGAGAGGAGGGCGCCGTTCGTCCGGGAGATCGTCTATTACAGCAGCGAGTGGAGGGGAGGGGGATGTTGTGGAGTGCTCCTTGTGCTTTTGCACGCCCTCCTGCTCCTCCCCTAACTTCGTTAATCTGCACCTCCTCCGGCGGCCGGGGCCGGGGGCGCTGCTGCTGCTGCTGCTGCTCTGCACGGAGGCGTTAACGACCTGCGATGGCCGCGCTGCAAGCGCTGCAGACTGAAGCGTTCACCGGGAGGGGTCGGTGTGGTGCACGTTAGTTGGGAAGGGGTGAGAGAAAAAGGTGCGCAGCGCGCGCGAGGCGCGAGGGCAACCGCCGCCGCGTTAATGAGGGCGAATGGTCACACATGGGAGGGGAAAGGGGCAGTTTGCGACGACGAAAATTAATTGCTCCGGAAAATTGTAACCCTTATTTCATTTTTGTCATTTCAGCTGCAACAGCTCGAACCTCCAGGACAGTAACAGCAACGAGGCGAACTTCAACGACAGGTAATAAAGCGCACGGCCTTAATGTATTGATGACGACGACGGCGGCACTTTCTCATACTACGGGTCTGACACGTGTTTTGATTTCTTCCTGCAGCGCAATATGGGACACAATCCGTCCAGTCTCGATTCTCGAGGAAAGCGTCGCGAAATGTCGGCCGTGCCCGTACGGCTCGCAGGCGGGCCGTCTGGACAACCGCAGGAGCGGCGCCGCGCGCACGGCCCCGCGCAACATCAGTCCGGGCGGCAACCGTAACGAGCCTCGGGGTGAGTGCCGCTCCAGGACCTTGTCCAGGACCTTGTCCAGGACATCCTGACACACCCCCCGTTCCATCTGTTGCAGACTCGAATCTCGCCGAGGACAACTGCTACCTTACCCGGGACTACGCTTCCCGGCCGACGGACAACCACAGACCGCCAGCGTCCACATCCTCCTCGACGTCCTCGTGCTACTCCTCGGCCAGCAGCAGCTGTTCGGCGTCACCGCTTGGCTCGCCGGCATCGCCCATCGAGGGCGGCATCGTCAATCCGAACTACCCAGGGTTCGAGCACCTCGCCGCCAAGTTGCTGAGACTGGCGGCTGGGTCGGACTACGAGGACCAGGACGAGGACGACGAGGACAACAACAACAACATCATCAACGAGAACGTCAACGGCAAGCAGCTGCAGTACCAGGATGATGGCAAGAGGATCGACCCGATAAACCACGACCACGCCGACGGCAACAAGGCCTTGCTCTACGCCAAGCCCAAGCTGGCCGCCGCCATGGCGGACGCCTTCTTGTCTTCCGCGAAGGAGGATCTGGCTGTGAGCAGGGACTTCCAGAAGCAGGCCAAGCTGCACAAGATGTCGGTGCACGGGCCGCCCATCGGCGCGCTCGGCGCCCTGGCCGCGCGCCACTACAAGAAGGACTCGAACCGCGCGCTCGAGGAGCGAGAGGAGGAGGTAAGCGCGTCGTGGGGGAGAAACGTCGCATCGACAGGAAACGTGTGTCACACCGCTGTCTTTGTTCCAGGAGGAGAAGTACAACAGGGAGGCGACGGAGAAGGAGCTCCAGCAGGACATCGTCGTGCCCCGCAAGAAGGAGAAGATGGCCATGAACCAGCAGGTGCGCAAGGCGCGCGCCGGCCCCCCGGCCATGGGCTTCGACCGCGCCGAGCGGACAGAGCGCGCCGAGAAGCGCTTCTCCTCGCACGTGCACGCGCACGCACACGCGCACGGCCAGGCCGCCTCGCGCCGCGAGAAGCGCTCCTCCCTGGAGCTCCTGGGTACGTGCAGCACTCACAGCGTGTAGCGCAGGCCCCACCCCACGCACGTGCGTGCGCGCGTGCGGTGCAGGCTGATACAGCGGAAGTGCCGCCAGATGGCCGTTAATTGATAGTAGCTGTCCGGTCCATTATCTCTCACTGCCGCGTGTGTCACTCCGCAGGTGGATTCGATGTCTACAACATCGAGACCGCCATGCCCAGGATCGACCTGGACCTCATCGAGTCGCACCTCCGGGCCGCCAAGGAGGAGGAGAGGCGGGTGAGTACGACGACGGGACGGGGGGCGGCTGACTCCGGGGCGCGCGCTCTCCCGACCACCTCCTTCAAAACTCGGCGCGCCGCGTCCGGTTCCCGGCCGGCGCCGACCGTCGTCCGGGCTGTCGACGGATCTCTGGAGAACGAGGCCGAGCGCGAGGCCGAGGCCGGCGGGCCACACTATCGACCGGACAGCGAGATGCGCTGGGGGGGCTTTGTTGGGGCCCCTCGCCCCGCCCGGCCGGGGCCCCCCGCTGCGCCCCGCTGCGCCCCGCTGCGCCGCTCGCTGCCCCCGGCCTTCGGCCCGGCCACGGCGCGGCGCGACCAGGTGGGCGCACGGGGCACCCGGTAGCCCCAGTAGAATTTTGTTTTCGTTCTACCCCCTCCCTCCTTCTCTACGGGAAAGGAGAGAGCAGGCAAGTGCAAAGGAGGAGGTAGGAGAGAGGCCGTGCAGGTCTCGGGACCGGAAAACGCTGTTTCCTTTATAATTCAGAGGCGCCGCCTTTTCCGCGCGCATTACGGCACCTCGAGGAGTAAGTGAACGGGG